GCGGGTGCGCCACCAACGCAGCGGGGGGCGGCAGGCTGCGGGCCTTCCTCTTGCCGGGACCGCACGCTGCAGGTAAGGGGGCTGCGGCTCGGGGCGGGGGGCGAAGAAGCGTGAAGAGGTCGCATGCATGCGCGCCTCTTTTCTTGTTCGCTGTCTACTTGCCTTTTTTTTTTGAAGTTAAAAAGTAAGTTGCACGCAGCAGGAGGCGGGGAGGCGCGGGAAGGCTCGCTGCAGACCCGCTCCTCCGGCGAGGCCCCTCGCTCGCTGGCCGGCGCTGCCTGCCTTCCGCCGGGGGCTCCCCGGCAGATGCGTCGCCGAGGCTGGGATCGTTGTGAAGGAGGGGTGCTTTTGCCGCAGGAAAGGAACATTTACCTCTTATACCTTATTTATGTATATACCTGCTTTCTTCAACACCGATGCTAAGGAGGAGCTCCTCGCAAAGGAGGCAGAATTGCTCTTTTTTAAAAAAAATGGGGAGGGGTGGGGAGGGATCGCGCGTTGCTTCTGCGGGCGCGTGGGGCTGCCAGGCTGCAGAGCCTGGATGGAGAGAGGGTGAAATCCTCGCCGTTTGTCCCCGGTGTTCCTGGAAATAACTCCTGCGCTGCAGCGTGGCTAAGTCAGGGGAATGCTAAGCACAGAAAGGGGAAAAAAAAGAAAAAAGAGAAAGAGAAGGAAGTTAAATATTGCCCTGGCCCGGGAAGGTGGTTATTCAGAACAAAGCATTTGCACAGCAGTATTTAAGAGGACGTTGTTTTTTTGCCTGCACTGCAAATAAATCTTTGGTCAAACGAAGCTTTCCCGTAGCTCTTGCATGTCTTGTAAATGAGACGTTCACAGAGTGGGTTTTGTTTTGTTTGAAGAGGAAGGGACGGTTGGAAAAAGTTCTGTTAGCATGCACATTTGGAAACTTAAGACAGGGAAATTTGGGATTCAGATCAAGAAAGCACAGTCCCTCTGTGCAAACATTTCATTAAACTGTTTGCTAACCAACAGCAAGTATGTTAACATTTATTTAATAGAAAAGTGTGTCAAAAGGCTTTCCACTGTTTGCATTTTTAAAAAGCCAGGAGTTTTTCTGCTGGGTTGCAGGGACTCTTGGCTGGCCTCTCCTTAGCTGAGGAAGTGGCACCAGTGCTCCAGTTAGCTGGCTGCTATGAGAGTAGGAGATGCCTTATTATAATTATTTATATGCTGCTCCCGAGCTGTGACGATCTGAATGAGGGCGAGATCAGAGGTACTCACTGAAGTTTTAAATCTCATTAGAACATGGAGCAGCTTCCTTCATCACATGAACTTGGGTCTGCATATTCATCCTTCACGTGAATTGGAAATGAGGGGCGTCTCCTCCGTACTTGAGAGTTGGGGCTGTTTAATGGAGGGGTAGTGCTTCTAACAGTGACTGCTAGAGAAGGAGACAGGGGAAGACAGAGCTGCACTTTGCTGAAAATCTTTCTATTTTCAGCCTAAATAGTCAAAATGCAGAGTTCCTGTTTCTGCATTCTTGGCTGAGGGAGAGCTCTGATCTTGAAATTGGTGGGAGCTTTGATTCCGTAAAAAGTACAAAGTAGGACCCTTACAGTTCACATTCAAGGAGTGAAGGTTGCAAACCTGGGGTGCAAGAAGGAAGAAGTACGCTGAACCTGTGTGACACGTAGTGCCTGCCTTCTCATGGGGACCGCACCACTTCCAGCTCTAAATCCAACACTCCCTGGTGCACACCCTCCCCGAGCAGGATCACATCATCTCCCTTACACACAGCTAGGTCCTGCATCACATGCTACACTTTTGGTCGTTCTTAGTTTACAGAAATTGCTAGAAATCAGTATGGGGTGGTGTATATTACAGTAGCTTCTTAACAGCAACTGTAGTAGGCCACTGACTTACTTTCCAGTTCAGTTTTTTTGGGCCCTAAAGTGTTAAGTAGTAGTGTGCATGTGCAACCCTTCTAGTCTATTTTTTAAAAGAGAGCAAGGAACTCTCATAGGAGTTTTGTTTCTGTTAACAAGGGTGTAAAGCTAACATGGCATCAAGTTTTGTGAAACTGAGTTAATCAAGTATGCTTTACAGTTTAAAATGTGGCATTACAACTGTTCCGAATTGAAGTGTAAGAAGTGCTATTGAAACGTGATGATCTGTCTAAACTGAAATGACCAGCCCGGTAATTTAATGCACGTTAAGAATATTTTCTACTTATTTTTGGCAGAGGAGGCAAACTAATGAACTGGACTGATTGCAGAAAACCTAGTAGGCATAGTATTTATATTTAGGAGATTCAGGTTTATAACATTGTATTGTGTCATTTCTTGCAAACTTCATTGAGAATGTGGAAAAAAAATACCACTGTTTAAAAACAGGACATTAAACCACAAAAAATATGTTCAAATACCACTGAGAGTCTGAGTTAAACCCCCAAAAGCCAGGGAATTTAGACTTAAGACTTGAACTTCCTTAATCCATTTGCACTGGGAGTTGGATTTTCCTGGTCAATTATGTCCATTGCCAGCAGTGGCTACACTGAAACCACCGGTACCAAGATGTTAACTGGGATCCCTCCTCCTCCTCGTGTTCCTCCCCTGTTCTGTGTATTGGCAGTGCCACTGTACTGCCTGTGTTGAAATATTTAGAGTTAATGGGCTACGTGAACATGGGCTTTCAGGTTTAGCACTGAATTTCTTGGCTTTCGTCGTTTTTCAGTGAGCCATCAAGTACAATTTTAATACAGATCTCCAGGATGTTCCTTGCATATCGGTTATCATTGTGCACTCCCAATATGATTTCTTTAAAAAAAAAAAAAAAAAAAGTGGCCAGCAGCCAAGGCAGCAACTACTGGGACTTTGCTACTTAGCTGACAGGAATATCCAAACTTGAAAAATTCCCTGAAGGAAATGCAGCCAGTTAGAGTTACGCTGCAGGAGTCTCCTAAGGGGGAGAAATGCAGTGTAGACAAATACCTCAGAAGGTACAGGAACACTGGGCTTATGCAGTATTTTGGAAAAATGTGCTTCTTCTGTATTTTTGTGGATGGTAGTTTAAAGAGAAAATATTTTTGAAGCTCGTAATGAAAGCAGATGCTTGTCCTTTGACACCGTTACAGAATGAATGGCATTTTTTTGTCCATGACCATTAAAATGTATTTTGTACACCTAGCAATGTTTCTAATTTTAATAGCAGAAGAATGAAAACGTGCGGGTTTGCTTTTCTTTTTGCTGTTCTGTATGTTGAATAAAATTAAGAAAGAAAACCTGTTAAAAGTAGCTAACTAGAACCATGAAGCTCAACGTGGTAGCATTTGTTGTATTAACGCCTCTTTTAAAAACAAACAAACAAACAAACCTTCCTGGGGAAGACAGAGAGTCACGCTACAGCCCCTAAGTTAGCCGCGTTTAGCCCAAGATGATTAAATCGGCCGAGGGCCAGCAGCGGTGGAGGGGCCGGCTCCGCGCCCCCGCC